CACTCACTCACACACACACACACACACACACACACACACACACACTCACTCACTCACTCACGCACGCACGCACGCACGCACACACACACACGTCTCCACACACTCAAACTCAATTTTTTTAACGTATTATCTCAGATCAAGGCTGTCTTGTCATATACACATGAGCACACATGATGATAACACACACAAGCACACCCAAAATCAATTTCAACGCGATTACTTTATTTTTTTTTGTAGAGAACCCTTTCTATTTCATCTGATGCACTTACAATGAGACGTCCACTCACACAAAGTCATTCTGAGAAGACTCCTTGAGCTCTGTGGAATATGTCATCCTTGTCAAAAATAACCATCGAGCTGAAAATAACACAAACTGCCTCCAAAAACGACAAAAGTCTCTCAGAAAACTACAGTTGTGCTCTCAGATGCGTTTGAGCTACAGTAAAGACTGTCATGATTATTTCATCCTTATATAATGAAAATATGACTGATAATAACAACAACAATATACTGAGTATATATTAATCATAATAATGATGCGCTTTAAAAGCACCATAAAAGTGGTTCATATGACTTGATCATTTTGTAATCCACTTATGGCACAGGTTGGGTATTAATAACATCAAACACCATTGGTTTTCAAGTCAAAACTTCATAGTTGATACTTCAACAGTCTTGTTTTAGTGTATTGTTTTATTTATTAGTACAAACATTTTCTGTAGAGCTACTTTAAAACCAATTTCTTCCTTGGAATAAAAAAGTAAAAAAGGTCATTCTGACTTTTTATCTCGCAATTCTGACTTTGTTTCTCGAAATTCTAAGAAAAAAGTCAGAACTGGTAAATATAAACTAATAATTCTGACTTTTTTTTTTTACGCCTTCCAATTCTGTTTTCTTGTTTCAGTTAAGGAATAAAAAACAAGTTAATTTTCGAGGTTTTAGCTCATGTTTCTGACTTTCTCAATTCTGAGTTTATATCTCACAGTTCTGAGTTTGTATTTTGCAGAAGGTATAAAGTCTCAGAACTGCGAGATGTTAACTCGCTATTGCGAGTTACATAAAACCTCGGAATTATGAGAATAAAAGTCCAAATTGTGAGATTGTTAATCTGTGTTTTTTCAAGTATTTCTTTCATGCATTCACACACTAATACTTCCTTTCATAAATTCTTGTTTTTTCTCAAACAGTCTTTATATTACAGATATTGGGCAGTTGCTATGCGGTTGCTAGGGTATTCTGATGGTTGCATGTGTATTGCTATACAGTTGCTAGGGTACTCCTTGCAGTTTTTCAAGGCTGAGAAAGTAACTGATTACATGTAATCAAGATTATGTAATCAGATTCCAAAAATTAAGTACTTGTAATTAGATTAGAAAACTGCATCAAATAATTCAAAAGAGTTGGTGATTTTTGGTATAGCGCCCAAACTAAATCTCACAGGAACCATAATTTTTGTGATATCAACTTCAAATTTGGAACATAACTTGGTTAGACATATGGCTTTGATTTTATAGCAATTTTAGAGTGCAACATACTTTATATAATATATATTATATATACATAAAAAATAGAATATTACATTATCTTCACCGTAAACTTAAAATTCTATAACTTTTTTATATTTTATTTTATTTTGAAATGCTTTCATTTCAGCAATAATCTGCTTTGTGTCTTCTTTAAAAAGAGACCAACCGTAGATCTGTATTCCAGAGCGTTCAGGAACTACATCCATGTTGTAACAAGCACTGATAAACATCTGATTACAGGGAATTTATTCCTCCAAAGATTAAAATCAAACATTAAAATCAAAAATAAGAGTCAAGTTTTGATAATAAAATAAAATAAATAAATAAATAGTGCAATTGTATTATTTGAGTCCCAATAAGATGGAAAATAGCAATAAATTAATTTTCTGATATCTCTTCGTAATCAGATTCCAAAAATTAAGTACTTGTAATTAGATTACATTTTAAAGTACTCGTAATCAGACTACAATTACTTTTTATTGATTACACGATTACTTGTAGATTACATACAAAAGTAATCTAAAAGTAAACAAAAAGTAATCTGATTATATTACCTAAAATGTGTAATATAATGGATTACATTACTAACCACAGTTTTTGTCATGTAATCAGTAACGGACTACAATTTGTAAGTAATCTGCCCAGCTCTGATATATTTGATGTAGTGTTCTAAGCGGTTGCTATGCAGTTGCTAGGATGTTCTGATTGGACGTTAACCCTTTAACTGGCGACGTATATACAAACATTTGAGAAGCTGTGGAGAGAAGCAGGGAAAGTGTAGGTCTCATTTCTTGGTTTCATGTTGAAAGGTTGTGAATATTTAGATGAGGTGAGTTAGTTTCTACATTCTGTGTTTGGCTCACAGGCAGCATTTAAACCTGCACGGCCGCCTGTCGTGGGAAAAACGTTGATCTAGTTCATATTTACACATGTTGGAGGGGACTTACCTGTTTAAAAAGCTGTTGTTCAGCATTAGCTTATTAGGTTTACATTGAAATTTTATGAATTAAATGCTTACATTTTTTGTAATCTGTCTCTAAACGTTTGTATCTCAGGGGACATGTCGCTCTTTTATGGGTATAAATCAAGATATAAAAACATATATATATATAGACTCTGAGATTTTGTGGCTTGTGTTTTAGAAAAACACATTTTTGTAGTTCTTTTTGTAATCTTGACAAAACACATATCGTTGGAAAGGTCTGACAGTCAAGGTTCCATATTTGGTGACTGTTTTGTAATAGAAGTGATATTGTGACAGAAAATGATAGATTTGTGACAGAAAACTGCATCAAATAATTCAAAAGAGTTGGTGATTTTTGGTATAGCGCCCAAACTAAATCTCACAGGAACCATAATTTTTGTGATATCAACTTAAAATTTGGAACATAACTTGGTTAGACATATGGCTTTGATTTTATAGCAATTTTAGAGTGCAACATACTTTATATAATATATATTATATATACATAAAAAATAGAATATTACATTATCTTCACCGTAAACTTAAAATTCTATAACTTTTTTATATTTTATTTTATTTTGAAATGCTTTCATTTCAGCAATAATCTGCTTTGTGTCTTCTTTAAAAAGAGACCAACCGTAGATCTGTATTCCAGAGCGTTCAGGAACTACATCCATGTTGTAACCAGAAAACAAGTTTCAAATGAAAGGGGTTTTGACAGACCTCTATTATTGTGCAAAACAAAGGATGGAACCTGTATCCCGTCATCTTCATCATCATCATCATCACACTAACGCATGCTAGCATGCTTCTCCTCAGCGCTCTTCACTGAAGCAGCTGTAAGCGGAACATGAGCAGCATGCATTGCTTCGAGCCTCTTCTGCATCTCGTCAGAAGTGCGCAGTGCGCTGTCATGCATTCACTCGGCGGACATGGCGCTTGGCGTTTAATCGCAGCGTCGCGTGGATCTCTGCTTGATGGAGCTACTGTCGATCACTCCGCTCACAGACGGATCAGGATCAGAATCAGAATAAGGATCAGAATCAGGATCAGGATCAGAATAAGGATCAGAATCAGGATCAGGATCAGGATCAGGATCAGAATCAGGATCAGGATCAGGACCAGGATCAGAATCAGAATCAGAATCAGAATCAGGATCAGAATCAGAATAAGGATCAGAATCAGAATCAGAATCAGGATCAGAATCAGGATCAGGATCAGAATCAGAATCAGGATCAGAATCAGGATCAGGATCAGAATAAGGATCAGAATCAGAATCAGAATAAGGATCAGGATCAGGATCAGAATCAGAATAAGGATCATAATCAGGATCAGGATCAGAATCAGAATAAGATCAGGATCAGAATCAGAATAAGGATCAGAATCAGGATCAGTATCAGGATCAGAATCAGAATCAGAATCAGGATCAGAATCAGGATCAGAATCAGAATCAGGATCAGAATCAGGATCAGAATGAGCTTTATTGCCAGGTATGTTTACACATACGATCAGAATCAGAATCAGGATCAGGATCAGAATCAGAATCAGGATCAGGATCAGGACCAGGATCAGAATCAGAATCAGAATCATAATAAGGATCAGGATCAGAATCAGAATCAGAATCAGGATCAGGACCAGGATCAGAATCAGGATCAGAATCAGGATCAGGATCAGAATCAGAATCAGGATCAGAATCAGGATCAGAATGAGCTTTATTGCCAGGTATGTTTACACATACGAGGGATTTGTTTTAGTGACAGAAGCTCCACAGTGCAACAGAATGACAGTGACAAGACAAGACACAGATAATAGAAAGAATAATATACAAATATACAAAATAGACAATTTTGTACATACAGGTATGTTATGTGCAAATTTGAAATGTAAACAAGTATGTGTGTTAAATAAATAAATGAATGGTAGTGTTGTGTGTTGCACGTTTTATTGTCAAGTGTTCATGAGATGGACCGATTCATCAGATGAGCTCGTCTTCATCCAGCTGTGTTTCTGTCCCATCAGCCACCAGCTCGGCTCATCTGGAGGACCTGGTGTACCTGGATGATCAGAGACACGCTCCGCTGCGCATGACGCGACAGAACACGGCCGGGCAGGACCTGCGAGGTGAGTGTGATAGACCTGCTCAGAAAGCATCCGCAGATCAGCGTTTATCACTGCGTTCTCTCACAGACTCACAGCGCTGCATCCTCATCTGCTCTCTGTGTTTCCGTGTCACTCCCAAACACATTTAGACCTAAACTTAAGATTTACGTATTTGAACTGCATATAAAATTTCCATCCATTTGGATTATTTAACATAATCTAATAAACCTGATGTGATGTGTATCTGTCAGTCACACATGAATGAAACGGCTCAGATTTCTGTAATAGTACTTAATAAAGTGAATCTCAGTTGTTTCAGTCTCATACATTTTAACTAACTGAATATTACTTAGTCATATTTAACCATGTTCATAGTTTATTCACAAAATTGCTCACAGGTAGGAGATTTATGTTGATTCCAAGGATTCTGAATAAATGCATTTTGAAAATATGATTTTTTAAATTAAATCAAATAGATGCAAATAGTTAATAATAAACTATTACATGATCTTTAGCATTTAATTTATCTCAATGATTTTTTTTTTTTAAATATGGTTTTAGTTTTAGTTAACTAAAATAGCCCTGTTTGGCACTCCAAATAATATTTGGGCTTAAATGTAAGATTTATATTTTTGAATTACATGTAACATTTAAATCCATTTGGAAATTTGAGATAGTTTTAACATTAAAAAAGAAGAAGTATGTAATACATATTTGTTTGTCAAAAATAAATGAAACGGGTAGATTTCTGCAAAAAAAACAAAAACGTAGTATATTATTAATTATTTACATGTATTATTAATTATTTAAATAATCATTTTCAAAATGCATGTATTCAAAATCCTTAGAATCAACATAAATCTGTTAACTGTGAAAATAACATTTACTCAGTTATGAACTATGAACATGGCTAAAATATGGCTAGCTTTGGAAAAACTATATTCAGTTAAAATGTATCAGACTGAAACAACTGGGATTTATTGATGTTAAAAATATATACCCTAGTTATTGTGTCCACAAACACATTCATTTGATTAGTACCTAATACAGAAATCTGACCTGTTTGACTTATTTAACAGGTAAACTAAAACTAAAACCATAAAGAAAAACACATTTTTGTTACTTGAAATAAATAAAAAAATGTATTGAATAAAAAAAAAAAATATATATATACATAAAAGATTGGTGACTTGATGTACTAAAATGAATAGCTAAAACAAAATGAATAAAAAACTATAGAGACTTTAAAAAAAAACTAAAAACAATAAAAATGACAAAAACACAACAAAATTACTAAAAGTTTAACTTAAAATAAAAAAGGAAAATGAAATAAAAATAAATAAAAACTAATCTAAAATATAAATAAAAACCTATCCTAGTATCTCAGTGATTATGAACATGGTGCTACACACACTCAGATTTCACACAGGCCTCCGCTGGCCTAATACTCTCACACTCATCCTTCATCTCCAGCAGATAATTAGGAGACCGGGGCCTTGGAGTGACCTCAAATCCTCTGTTTCCCCAGACACTCACACACACACACACTCACATTGTGATTCTTGAGGTAGTTATATTGTGTGTTTGTGTTTTCTAAATGAGAACATGGTTAAACCTGTGCAAAATGATGCCGTTCTTCTGTAGAGTTTAGCTGAAAACACTGAGCAGATTGGAGCGTCACAGGTGAAATGTGTTAAAAGTTTTGAGAAACGTGTCTTTGTTTCAGGAACTGTATGAATGGTTTGGAAAGTTGTGCCAAACGAATCAGTTATAGCGTGTTAGCAATCGAGAAAAACTGTAATGGGGCAACAGAAACATTAAAAAATATGTATTTAAAATGTCTTGCCAAAAATATGTGTTTAAGTGATGTGTTAACTTTAGACTAGTGTGACAGAATTGCAAAAATATCCAATATTTATAACTTGTTTATTGTGTAAAACCAGTTAACAGTAAATTACCGTTCAAAGGCTTAGAGTTGAGAGTTTTTATGTTTTTAAATGAAGATTTATCTGCACAGCAAGGCTGCATTTATCTGATCAAAAATACAGTAAAAACAGTAATATTGTGAAATGTTATTACAGTTTAAAATAGCTGTTTTCTATGTGACTATATTATTAATTTATCTCTAAACTAATTGATTTCTGTGATCAGAGCTGAACTTTCTGCATCATTACTCCAGCTTCAGTGACGTCTAATTCTTATTATTAATAATGTTGAAAACTTTTTTTCCAGGATTCTTTGGTGAATCAAAGAAATCCTTTGTAACATTTTAAATGTTTAGTGTCACTTTTGATCAATTTAGTAAGCTCTTGCTGAATAAAAGTGTGAAAAAAAATCATTCTGACCCCAAACGTTTGAATATATACAAAAACAAAAACAAACAAAAAAAAAATATATATTTTATTAAAAAAAAAAAAAAAAAAAAAAAAAAATATATATTTTATTTTTTTTTATTTTTTTTACTTTTTTTAACTTTTTTTTACTACACAAAGAAACATTAAAAAAAACAAAGAGTGGCCTATTTTAACTGCAAACATTTAAGAAAAGCTGAGGGATGATTGAAATGATTTTCTCTGCTGCCAGTGATGTAGTCTTTAGAGCTCAACTCATTACATTCCTGTAAAGTAACATAAACGCAGCAATTTACTGTGCATCACTCCTCTCAATTCAGCACTCGCAGTACTAGTCATCATGATTAGCCGTCTGTATGTGAGTTTATTTCACCTCTTAACTGGATTAGCAGCATTTTACTGTCATGATGATCACTCATCCAGTCGCTCGGTTTCAAGAAGCGGCCAGTAATCCAGTGTCTTTAGGCGTGTGTATAATATAGTCCTTACAAGCACTGCAGCAATGATATCAAATGCTCAAATCACTGTGATGTTTCTTTTACCACTCATTACTCATTGATAATAATCAGAAATGTTTCTCGAGCAGCAAATCAGCATATTAGAATGATTTCTGAAGATCATGTGACACTGAAGACTGGAGTAATGATGCTGAAAATACAGCTGTGCATCACAGAAATACATTACAGTTTAACAGAGATTCACATAGAAAACAGCTGTTTTTACTGCATTTTTGATCAAATAAATGCCGTGATGAGCAGAAGAGACTTCTTTTAAAAACATTTAAAAATCGTAATTATTCTAAACTTGTACTGTAGAAGTTGTGCTGGTCACAAAAGTCGAGGTCGAGTCAGACTATCACTCTCACCATTTTTAAAAAAGCTTTATTTTACTTGCATTTGCCAGTTGCCAAGTGTGTATATTTTGGGTTTGAAATCTTTGGATCATGAGAGTGGTGCTTTTAATGCCCAGATGTGATATGAATGTGCTCAGACAGTAATCAGAGGCGTGATCTCTCCTATCCTCGCTGCATGCTTGATCTGGAGTGATCTCTCTCTCTCTCCTGTCGCGTGTCTGTGTGTGTCTCAGCCTCCGCTAACAGACAAGCCTGGCAGTCTCAGTCACGTAAGTGTGTTCCTGACGAGGCCGATCTCTGTCCCGTCTGTGCTGTCAGGAGTGGTCTGTGATCTTCTGGAATTACTGTATCGTACTGTATTTCGTGATGTGGAAGAATGAGTTGAATGTGTGGCAGGTGTGGAAATCTGGGGCCCTATAAAATATTTTTGTAATTAATTAATTAATTTAATTTCTGCTAGTTTTTTTATATATATATATATATATATATATATATATAAAATCACCTATATTATACGTATGATTATATAATTTTTAGTGAATAATAATCATTAATAATATCATCACAGTTAGAATTATTATAACATAATATAATAAATTATTTGAAATAATTATATTACTATCTTATATGCATGATTATGTTAATGGTTAATATCATAAGTAATAATAAATGTTGTTGCTGTTATAGAATCATAATAATAATGTATTCATTATAACATAATATAATGTAAATATACATATATAAAAATATGCATAATATACAGTAATATAACAATTATTATCTATAATAAGTATAGAACTGTTCTATCCTAATGACATTTTATCATCAAAAAGAGTGTCTAATCAAATAAATGTATAAAATATGAACAAATTAGTAACTTTTTTGTAATTTAACTATATGTTTTATTCATTATATTGATTATTCTCATTGATAGGGCCCTAGATATGTGTCTTTCTGTGAGCGTATGTGTCTGTTGATTGTTTGTTAGGATGTTTTTGTGTGTTTTTCATACTCACTGATGATTTTGTGCACTTTCTGTCCACCCCAGTGCGGTTCGCTCCATACAGACTGCAGGACATCGCTCTGAAGCCGCTGCTGTTCGAGGTGCCCAGCATCACCATGGACACTGTGTTCACTGGCCGTGATTGGCTCTTCCAGGAGGTCGATGCCTACCTGCGCCCCGCCCACTCCTCCACCAATCGCGGCGTGGTTCTGGTGGGCAGCATTGGCTACGGCAAAACCGCCATCATCTCGCGCCTCGTGGCTCTCAGCTGCCATGGAAACCGCATGCGACAGATCGCCTCCGACAACCCACAGGCGTCGCTGAAGCGTAAGGCTTATTATTAGTGTATGTCACTTTTGCAAAGTGTACTGACCAAACTTCATATGCTGTCTGTCAGCCACGGTGCTTCTGTGCTGCAATCAGCTGGAAAAAACCTGTACCTACAGTTCACTGCAGTTTCCAGAACGAACACTAGTGGCAGTAAAACACCAACCATTTTTATTACTTTTCACACAAATTATAATTACGGGTGCAGATTATTGATTAATAAATGCTTATTTTTGCACAATTTATGTGCACAATAGTATGTTATGGCCTCAAAGCACTTTTACTACAGTGCGTTATTTGTAAACGAATACATTTTGATGTTTGCATCACATAACCAGCTCCATATATTTGGCTTTTCTTACGTAGTAAACTTGCTCGGTAGCGCACCCGGTACAGCATTACACTAGTGATGAAAAGCGCTTGAGAGTGAAAGCTGTCAAACACGAGTCAAAAGAGCTCGAAGACTTGTGGAAGCAAGATAAAATGACATGATTGCTTCAGCAAATGCATCTTTTTGTCTCATGTTTGCTTTTGTAAACTCTCTCAGTTAGGCTTAGGGTCAGAGTTAGTGTAGATGGTACGCTATTTTCAAAAGTGACAGAGCATTAACCATTTAGTTCCACTCACTGGACATTTCATTTATGAACTGCTGCAATACATGCAACAACCAGTGTAATAAACCATTGCCAGATTCATGTTTATCTGTTTCAGTCACTGGGCATTTCACTTTGAAAAGTGTCACAAGAAAACACATATCCTTTTACAGAATGTCACCATAGGCATGGTTTTCCAATGTGCCTGGACTGAGTGTAATTGATTGCTGGCATGTGTGTGGTCAGATGGAGAGGGCATCCCTCTTACACAGCCGCAGACTTCCCATGGTACACTGGGAGGAGGAAGTTGCCCTGGAACTCCGGAAATGAGGAGGAGGCAGGAGGAGGCCATGAGGAGGCTTGCATCACAGGTACACACACACACACACACAAACACTCGCACACATGTGGGGACATTTGGTCCCCAGTGTAGCATAAACACACACACACACACACACACTCACAAACACAGACACACACGCACACACTCACTCACATGCACACACACACACAGTTTCTCACATCAATCTTCTCACAATAGATGCTGTTGACCGGTAGAAGTGCTTCTGCTCGCACACAAAAGGCCATCTAAACCTGTGCAGGCTTTCTGTCGCGGTCTCAGCTATTGCATTATGCAGATATGTTTAAAAAAGAGAAGTAAGTTTGCTAATGAGCAAATAGGTTGCTCATTAAATATTTATTCAGGCAGAAAGCAATTTCCTTGCCATGCTATTAGATCTAGTTAAGTCAATGCATTAATAATCAAGTCTCACTTTCTACCCTTCTGGACGGTTAAAGTCCTTTTAAAACATTTGTATGAGTGAATTAATATTCTAATATAGTTGATGGTCACAGCCAGGCCTCTGCGTCTGATCTCTGATTTCTCTGTGGTCTCCTCCACTGCGCTGTAATTTGTGTAGCCTTTGGCTCTCTGTGCATTCACACTCTGTGCCACTGGACCCAAATGACCGCAGCTTCCCGTTAAACCATCACACCTCATTAACACAGCTTTTGGAGTTTGTGGAGCTCGAGGGGATGTTTCTGGTGTTTGCTGTTCTTGCTTTTGTAAGTCGTTTCTCTGGAGTCCACAATAGTGCACATCGAACTGAATTATCATGCAGAGACGCAGGAACAGCATTTGACAATAAGTGAGACATATTATTTTACACCATAGTAGGTAAAAACGTTGAGTTATGTTTTAGCCAAACTTGATCACAGAGTTGTTTGTTAATTGTCTGAATGGTGCCGTAACAGAAGGCTATGCAATATGCATTAAGTTGTGAATGAACTAGTTCAACAGGAGTAGCCACACACTTATGTGGACAAGTATGAGTGAAAAAGAAAGTTGTATTTCACTTCTTGTGTTTAATTAATGTTTGTTATTAATGTTTGTAACATGAACATTTTGTTAGTTTTATATTTACAATAATTAGATATACAAATGCTAATGTGCTCATAACGCAAAGCTGTCACATTATCTCTGCCCGGTAACTCCGCGCCAATATTAGCATGACTGGACTATTTCGAGCAGCGCCTCAGCAAAGCGCGCGCAATCCGCCATTTCACTGACTGGAGGATCTGTGATGGTGTTGCATAATTCGTGGCAGTAGCTCATAAATTACCGAGCACTAATTAGGGGTGAGAGGCCGAGCTGTCAGTCACATTATCCCAAAAAATTAAACGCAACTCGCGTGTACTTTTTTGGAGTGGCGTCGAGGAATCCGCGGCCAGTTGTCACTTTGCCCACCGTTTGTGGAAGGGACCATCATCAGCCACGTGAAAGGTCAACTCTCCACACTTGAAAAAATGGATCAACAGGCCGCTGGCATTTTAATCAGCTTGAGTCTAATGTTCTCTATCAATCAAGTAGTTAAGTTAAATGACCATGTGATAACTCTTATGCTCTGCCTGGTAAAATTATTATTGGTTAGCTCTGGTTTTTAACACATTTACAATGTTTTACAACCCTGAGATGTGCACAAAAACCCTACAAGTACTACTACTAGTACTAACAATATCTTCCTTCACATAGCATTTTTATTTAGGCTATCGTTTAAAAGTGCATTAATAAAATATTAAATTGACAAATTGTTATATTTTATTAAATATTATATAAAACACATATTTAATATATAAACATATATATCATAATGTAGGCTACACAAAAATCACATGTATTTTAGTTTTACACACATTTTATACTATATTTAATTAAATAAAAGTAATTATATAAATATACAAATATATTTTAATTTATAATGGAATATAGGCCTACCATAATCCCATATATTGAATGTATATAAATAAATGTAATATTTTATATAATTGTTTTTACACACACACACTTTATATAATTTTATATAAATATAAAATATTTTCATTTATAAACAGATAGGCTATACAATAATTACATATGTCATATGTAAAATGCATACATGAATGTAATTTTAATTTAAACATAAATATAGGCCTACCATAATCACATATCATATATAAAATATATATAAATAAATGTAATATTTTATATAACTAAGTGTTACACACACTTTATATAATTTATAAATCTAGTTATATAAATATAAAAAATATAATATTTTAATTTATAAACAAATAGGCTATACAATAATATATTATTTTATGTTTTTAATGTTTTATTATATAAACTAATACAATATATTTTGTATAAGCACATATCATAAAATGTATATGAATAAATGTAATACTTTAATATTACCATATTAAATAATATTACAAACACACACACACACACACACACACACACACACACACTGTCATTAAAAAGTTTGTTTTTAATGTTTTTGAAAGTCTCTGCTCACCAAGGTTGCATTTATTTGATTAAAAATACAGCAAAAAACATAATATTGTGAAATATTATTAGAATTTTAAATAACTGTTTTCTATGTGAATATTTTTTTATTTTGTTTATTTATTTAATAACAGTATTTATTATTAATAGAAAACTTTTACAGTAAATTTTGATCATTTTAATGCATCCTTGCTGATTTCTCTCTCTGAACCCAAACCTTTAAACAGTATTGTAGTTTATGTAAAAATTATAAATAACAATATTGTACAATACAACAGTACGATATACATTATAAATAAATAATATTACTATTATAATTTATAAGATTAATATATTATAATTATAAATAAATAAATATATAAAATCTAACTAAATATAAAATAAACATCAGATGATAGATGGATAGAATGATAGATAGATGGATAGATAGATAGATAGATAGATAGATAGATAGATAGAACGATAGATCTACAGAACAGGCCTTCAAGAAACTTTGCATTCTCTCACAAAAAAAATTTTTTTTTTTTTTGCAAAACATTTGTGTTCTCATGAGAAACTGTTCACTTACAAAACATTTGCATTTGTTTGCAAAATGTTTACATTCCCTCAAGAAATATTGCATTTGCTTGCAAAACCTTTGCATGCTCTGACTGAACACAAGGTTTTTTTGGGCAAACAAAGGTCTTGCAAAAAAAAAAAAAAAGTTTGATATAATATGCCGATTTTTATTTTTTTTTGTACTCAATTATTTATTTTGATTATTTCTTTATCTATTTCTTTATTTATTTATTTTTGAGTAGGCACTACCTCTGCTGCATAATCCTCAAAACCGAGACAACGTCAGAAGTTTTTTGCCCTTCGAATCATGTATTAAAGCAGCTAATTAAGCTAATAACTGCTTTAATGGAACCAATTATGTGCACTTGTCTCAGAGATGGGCGTCCCACAGAAACTAATGACAAAAGACTTGCCAAATTCCAAATTAAGGAAGAAAAAGTTTGTAATTCAGCACTGTGCCACTCAAACCTCTCAGGGGACAAATAAAGATGCACTACAGCCACAGCATATTGTTTTTCCAATCCTCATTCAGGGATTGTTGTTCCACATCAGAATGTACACATCAGTATTGTAAGTAACATTTTATCATTACAGCAAACTGGCCCTAGATCAGCATAAAATCTGCACTCCGGCGTTTCTCTCTGAGCTGTGCTTCTCTTGTCTGCCCCCTGCAGGTCGTGGCGTATCACTACTGTCAGGCCGATAATGCATACACCTGTCTGGTGCCGGAGTTTGTGCACAACGTGGCAGCGCTTCTGTGTCGCTCGCCGCAGCTCGCCGCATACAGAGAGCTTCTGCTGAAGGAGCCGCACATTCAGAGCATGCTCAGCCTGCGATCCTGCGTCCAAGATCCACCCACTGCCTTCAGACGAGGCGTGCTAGAACCGCTGGACGCACTTTATAAAGGCACGAGAGAACAAAAAATCAAGAGTTTGTGTTTGTATCTTTAAAGGAACAGTTCAGCCAAAAATGAAAACTGTTGAAAACATGCTCACCCTCAGATCATCAAGGATCCATTAGTGAGCGAGTGATGCAATGCTGCATTTCTCCAAACCTGATGAAGAAACAAACTCCTCCTGATCATGCATGGCCTGAGGGTGAGGATATTTTCAGCAAAAATTGTAATTTTGGGGCAAACTGTTCCTGTGATGTAAGATAGATGCAAAAGATGTAAAATAATTCAAAAGATTTAACGCATGTGTTAAAGTTAGTTCATTGTTGTTTTTCCTCAGAGAGGAAGATCACTCCAGACGAAGACCTCATCATTCTCATTGATGGTCTGAATGAGGCTGAGTTCCACAAACCAGACTACGGGGACACCATCGTGTCTTTCCTCTGTAAGACCATCAGCAAGTTCCCAGCCTGGCTCAAGCTGCTGGTGACAGTCAGGACCTCCCTGCAGGTAAACACACTCACACACTCACACACTCTCACTATTATGTGTCTCAGTCTCGCATAACCACTGCTCTGATTTGTACCATATAGAATCATTGCATATTTCCAATATTTGCCCTCTGGAATTGATTCTCAATTATATCTTGGCATATATTTCTAACTGTATATTAATATAATGTTTCACACATATATACAGTATTCAGTTTAATCAAAATCTGAATAATTAGATTCCATAAATTATGGGAAATAAAATGTATATTTAGCTTACAAATATAATAAATTAAAAATACAGGACTGTTTAAAAGTTTGGCTCACTTTGAACAAAAATACAGTAAAAGCAGTAAAAATAGTGAAATATTATTAGAATGTAAAACAGCTGTGTTCTGTGTGAATATCTGTTAAACTGTAATGTATTTCTGTGATGCGCAGCTGTATTTTCAGCATCATTACTCCAGTCTTCAGTGTCACATGATCTTCAGAAATCATTCTAATATGCTGATTTGCTGCTCAATAAACATTTCTGATTATTATCAATGTTGAAAACAGTTGTACATTTTATTTTTCATGATTCACAGATCAATAAAAAGTTCAAAAGAACAGCATTTATTTGAAATAGAAATCTTTTGTAACATTATAAATGTCTTTACTGTTACTTTTGATCAATTTAATGCGTCCTTGCTGAATAAAAGTATCAGTTTCTTACTGATTCCAAATTTTTAACAGATGTTAGAAATAAAATAAGTAGAAATTTGTTTCAGTGACATTTGTGGCCCAAACCTCTGGTATGTTGACAGGAAACTTGATCATTTGAAGATTTTACAGTTATAAATCAGTTTTTTTTATTTGCTTGTCAGTAAACTTTTGTTTTGTTTGTCAGAATATTCAATTACTACAGAAATGGATGAATTTGAAATAGTTTTAATGCATTTTTCTTTCAATAACTAGGGTTGCACTCCTAAGATAACATGGCTTCAACATTAAAAAAAAAACTGGTTTCACTTTATTTTGATGGTCTTTTTAACACATTCTGTTGACTTCTCATTAGAGTGTTAGTAGAGTATTAGTAGACTGGTAGGGTTAGGGGTAGAATAAGTTGACATGTACTTGCAAAGTTACTTATAGTCAGTAGAATGTCTGTTGGGACACCATCACAATAAAGAGTTAGCAGATATTAAGCAGACAGTCTACTAATACTCTAATGAGAGTTTGGTGACATGTAGGTGAAAAGTACCTTATTGTCAACAGAATGCTCAAAAGGGACCATCACAATAAAGTGTTAGCAAAAAAAGATTAGGTAACACTTTATTTTGATAGTCCACTTACTAACAGTAAGTAAATACATGTCAACTAGCAGTCATTAGAGTATTAGTAGACTCTCTGCTTGATATCTGCTAACTCTTTATTTTGATGGGTCCACAACATACTGACTTTGTCAACTTATTCTACTAACCCTAAACCTAACCTAACAGTCTACTCTGAGAGTTAGTAGACATGTAGTTGCAAATCAATGAGAATTAGTTGTTAGAAGTTACATATAGTTAGTAGAATGTCTAAAGTGGACTATCAAAATAAAGTGTAACCAAAGATTATTTTATTACACTTTTCTTTCTTTACTAAACACGTCATAAAGCAATGAGCTCTCCTTCCTTCTTTGCAGGAAATCACCAAACCTCTGCCCTTCCACCAAATCTCTCTGGATGCTCTGGAGGAGAATGACAGCATCGACCATGACCTGCAGAGCTACATCCTTCAGCGCATCCACAGCAGCGCAGAGATCCAGAACAACATCTCCCTCAACGGCAAGATGGACAACACCAGCTTCGGCAAGCTCAGCTCCCACCTCAAGGCCCTCAGCCAGGGCTCCTTGCTCTACCTCAAGCTCACCTTTGACCTGATCGAGCGCGGCTATCTGGTGCTCAAGAGCTCCAACTACAAGGTGGTGCCGGTCAGTCTAGCCGAGGTCTACCTCCTGCAGTGTAACATGCGCTTCCCCACGCAGTCGTCCTTCGACAGAGCCCTGCCGCTGCTCAACGTGGCCCTGGCTTCGCTGCATCCGCTCACCGATGAGCAGATCTACCAGGCCATCAACAGCGGCTCGATGAAGGGAACGCTGGAGTGGGACGACTTCCAGCAGAGGATGGAGAACCTGTCGGTGTTCCTGGTCAGGAGACGGGATGAGACTCGCATGTTTGTGCACCCGTCCTTCAGAGAGTGGCTCATATGGAGAGAAGAGGGAGAGAAGACCAAGTTCCTCTGCGATCTCAGGTCTGACAGAAAGCACTGGAACACCAGCAAAAACTGGCTTTGTGTAGTGAAACAGAACAAACCAACAAACTCTTCTGTTTACGACAGCCTAAAACGGTTTGATGGTCATTTTTGGGCACCTAGATTAACTAAACCATCTAAAAACCAGCAAACCAGCATTTTTAAAGTCAAATATGTGTCCCTGCAGCACAAAAGCAGTGTTTCTCAATATTTAGATTTTTTTGCACCCTCAGATTCCAGATTTTCAAATATTGTCCTATCCTAACAAACCATACATCAATGGAAAGATTATTTATTGTATAAATCTCAATTTCTCCTTATGACTGGTTTTGTGCTCCAGGGTCACATTTAATACCTGCACTAATAAATCACTGTATGACCCACACAATCTCAGAATTTTTTTTTTTTAATTAAACAGACACACATTCAGCTGTAAAACAGGATAACTGCAAGTTTAAATACTCAAGACATGTTTTATTTAATATGTACATTCGTATGTATAAAAATTGGTTTATGCACTAACATGTCAGTAAATATGAATTAGAGTTTGATCGATATTGATAAAATAATAAAGTGCTTAGAGAGAGGCCGTAAAAATATATTGTGCTGAAATGTGCCGGAACTAGTGAAATCTATATACTGAATAAATATCAGTGTAACTCAAATTAAAAGCATATAAAAATGTTTCATTTCTTGAAATAAAACAAAATATTAAAAAAATCTTAAACTTATTTTGGTAACACTTTACATAAAGCCTTTACATATAATGCATTATAAAATTAGTTTTAATGCATTAATTATGCCTTGTAATGCACATTATAATGAATTGTACAATCTCATGAATAATTTTAAGCAGTTAATACATAATAACACTTATCGATTCACTGTTACACTATGCATTTTAAATATGGTTATAATTATTTACAACAAGATATAATGTATTACAATGCACATTATGAAAAATTATAATGCATTATACCCTCTAATAACCCTTTATAATGCATTATACAAAAAGGCTTTAAGCAAAGTGCTACTCTTATTTTATTTCAGCTAGTCATCAACATTTCTCATTTTCATCTAGTTTAAGTTACTAAAATAACTAAAATTAAAAATAAAAAAATATTTAGACCTGTTAAAAAATGACAAAAACAACAAAATTACTAAAACTGTAACTAAATTGAGTGAAAACAGAAAATACACAAATAAAATTCATTCATAAAAATATAATAGTGTATCAGTATTACTAAAAAAAACAAAACAGAACCTCTTAAAATTATAATTAAGAATTTTGTTACATTTATGCGTTTAGCGGATACATTTATCCAAAGCAGCTGACAATAGAGGAATGAAAGCATTGTGTCACAATTCCAAATATATAAATGCTATACCATTTGAGATATTGAAGGTTTTCTATGAAATCTGAGATAGAAATGATGATGTCTTCACGTGTTTTTATGACAGGTCTAGTTTCACAGAAAACCGTAGCTTGAAGTATTTCATGTTTCTGACATGTTGGTTTTGTTTTTTAAAGGAACGGCCATACGCTTCTGGCTTTCTGGTTCTCCAGACAAGAAAACAAACTAAACAGACAGCAGACAATTGAGTTGGGTCACCATATCCTGAAAGCACACATATTCAAGGTAAGAGTCGTGCACAGATCGCCATCATTTAATAACACAGAGCTTTCATGCATTAAGGCTTTTGTTGTGTCGTACTGTAGGGACTGAGTAAGAAGGCTGGAGTTTCTTCATCAATCCTGCAAGGGCTGTGGGTGTCATACAGCACAGAGAGTTTATCCACAGCTCTGTCATCGCTCAGAAACCTTTACACGCCCAACATAAAGGTGCTTCTCCACTCTACACTGTAAACAATAAATAGATGAGAAAACGTAAAAAAAAAAAAAAAAAGGCAACTTGATACACTTTTGAAGACATTTGAGTTCTCTCAACAATAGTTTAGTTTAGTTCTTCTCAGTAAAGATACTTTAAAGTAAATTTGTTTGTTCATGCAATGCTGATTGACTTATTTTGCTAATAGAAAAATTCTTGTCACAGCAACTGAAATAACAATTACTGTCGTTGAGGTAATTATAAAAAAAAAATAATAGAATGTGTAAAAAGTCTGCATAATTTATTCATGCTGGAACTCACAAAGCCTTAACATTTCAACAATATGAAATTCTGTGTTCAGACATGTGTTTGACTAGTTGGGAGAACATTTGGGGTAATTTTGTCGGTTTGACAAGGGTTTTTATGTAGTTTCAAGAAAATAGCATTTTTTAGTATTCGAGACTCAAAAGGTTTCGTAAACTGAAAAATATGCAGTTGCCTTTTTGACAGCGTATGGACCGTGCATTTGTTTCTGGCTCCACAGAATTAGGTTTATTTCTCACGTGCATGCTCTGTAGGTGTCCCGGCTGCTGGTTCTGGGCGGCGCTAATGTGAATTACCGTACGGAGGTGTTAAACAACGCTCCGGTGCTGTGTGCGCATGCTCACCTGGGCTACTCCGAGATGGTGCACCTGCTGCTGGAGAACGGCGTCAGTGTGGACTCTGCATCTGAGAGCGGCCTCACTCCGCTGGGCTACGCCTCCGCCGCCGGACACCTGGGCATCGTCACTGCCCTGTGCAAGAGGAGAGCCAAGGTATGAGAGTGTCTGACGCTCAGAAATCAGTTGGGGTTCTAAGACTGAGCAATCAGTGTTGGGGGCAACGCATTACAAGTAACTCGAGTTACGTGATCAGATTACTTTTTTAAAGTAACTAGTAAAGTAGCGCATTACCTTTTAATTTAGAAGGAAACATCTGAGTTACTTTTTCAAATAAGTAACTCGTTACTTTGTTTCCATGTATTGAGTGACAGCTCTGGTGTTGCCGTGGTGACAGAAATCAGGAGTAAGTGCAGAGCGTTGTGTGTGAACATGATCTTACTGTAGTTCTAGACTAAATATCAACATGTGTTTACTCATCTCACTGCACACAAACACATTCAGTGTTCCTCAAAATTAATAAAAACAGTCAAATGCAAACTCAGAATATTATACAAACCTGCAATAATTAAATATGTTAAATAAGACAAATATCATTTATGTATTTAATCCTATTTTAACCAATGTTTTTGCTGCTGACCTTCGATGATCCAATTCAACCATACTAAGCAAAAATAACACATTTGTGTTTCATTTTTGTTTTTGCTGAACAGTGCTGAACTTTCTTCTTCTGCGTCATATTCTTCATGTGATTAGTTTGAGCTGCGCCCTCTACTGTACAGACGTGAATTTACATTTCCTTCAGCTTGAGGTGAATACATTTCACTTTTGTTGTGAAAGAGTATTTACATTTGTAAAAGAATACCTTTTTTATATTTAAAACAAACAAGCAAGCCCCGCCCAGATTTAAAAAGTAACTCAAAAGTAACGTAACACATTACTTTTCATATAAAGTAATTAACGTAATTAGTTACTTTTTTATGGAGTAACGCAATATTGTAATGCATTACTTTTAAAAGTAACTTTCCCCAACACTGAATGTGAAACACCTGTAACTGTAGCTGCAGTCAAGATTCCACTTTAACATGATATCTAACTGTAACCTACAATCCAAAGTTACTGCATTGAAGCTTCATCAGTGTTGTTTGAAAGCCTGAGACTGCATGCAAAATGCTTCTGTTTTGCATTTTTCAATCTGTTAAATATAATAGCAAATTATATTATCAGCTGAACAATTTAAGTTACACCAGCATGATTGTGTTTAAGAGTTTACATGGTCAGTGTCACAAATGTATTCATTTTAAAGTGACCTATAAAAAGAGCAGAATCATAATTACGAAGAGTAATAATGTTTCAATAAAATTTTATAACTTTTTTCAGGTGTAAATCAAAATTCAGCACTGTATATTGATTATTAAATGTGGAATTGAATAATTAAATGCATAAATTAACAAGTCTGAAGTTGGTAAGATTTTTTAGTTTTCTCAGCTGCTTGCCAAGGTTGCATTTATTTGAAAAAAATGCCATAAAAACTGCAATAATGTGAAATATTTTTACAATGTAAAACAGCTGTTTTCTGTGTGAATATCTGTTAAACTGTAATGTATTTCTGTGATGCGCAGCTGTATTTTCAGCATCATTACTCCAGTCTTCAGTGTCACATGATCTTCAGAAATCAGTATAATATGCTGATTTGCTGATCAAGAAACATGATTATTATCAATGATGAAAACAGTCGTGCTGCATAATATTTTTGTGGAAACATTTTTGTTTACAGGATTCTTTGATGAATAGAAAGTTCAAAGAAAAGCTTTTATTTAAAATCATTATGTCTCGTAACATCATAACTCTCTGTAATGTCACTTTTTATCAATTAAGTGCATCATTTTCTTTATTAAAAAAATCGAATAATTTAAATGGTGCTGTACATTTAAATAAATAAATCAGTCAAACTTATTTGAAAATATTTTGCATCAGCATTATTTAAAAATATATTTCACTACATAAATACTATGAAGACTATAAAAACTCTGAGTTAAAATGAACACATTGTTTAATGCTTCATGAGAATGAGAACATTTGAGTGGAATCTGCTTGATATACTGATTTTTTGTTAGGCTTCATTAGTAAAGCTACTTATATTTAGCTATTAGTCCTTGGTGTAAAGTTTGATCTACTTTGCAGTCTAATCTGACCAAGAATCAACCAATTTTTTAAATGAAGGTAGATTTGAAATCAGATTCTCAGATATTTTAAAACAAAATTCTGGTTTGTTGAACCCTACCTTGCAAATGTCAAATTTAGTTACATTTTAGTGACTTTGGTTGTCTGTAGGACTGATAAAATCTATGCATGATTCACAGAGTTTGCATCAAGCCAGTCAATCGGATTGGAGCTTTGATTTAGGCATAGCTTGCAGAAGACCACTCAGAATGATATTCATATGTGCGTCTGTCCTCTCCACAGCTCGACCACCTGGACAAGCTTGGTCAGTGTGCTCTAGTGCATGCTGCTCTCAGAGGACGTCTGGAGGTGATGAAGTTCCTCATTCAGAGCGACTGGGGCCCCTCCCCTGCAGAGTCACAGGCCACGCCCTCTCATACACAAGCCACGCCCCCGGAGTCACAGCCCTCCAGCCCCGAGCGACAGGAGGAGCCGCAGGAGCCCAAGCAGAAGCAGGAGCCTCCAGAGGAGTCCAAACAGCAGACACAAGCAGACACTCAGACGTCTCCAAAGCCTGCCACCTTCAGCAAGAGCGTGGCAGTGCAACAGGCCTTTACAGCAGCAGCCAGCATGGGTTACACTGAGGTGTATGATCCAGATATTATACAAAATGTATTATTTTGGCTAAAGTATTTGTAACAATACTTTTGCTCCATACCTGTGAACTATTTACACATCCGTGCATTGATCAGATAAAAAAAAAAATAAAATACTTATATGATATAAGTGTACTTATATGGTACACTAAGGGAATAGTAAAAAAAAAAAAAAAACATTTACCTTTCTGTGTGCTTTTAGCTCTGTTGTACCCTATAGTACACGTACTGGGTCAAAAAGTCCATTTTAATTGGAATGTTTTTATTGATTTCAGCAAATGAAATCTATAATTTCTCTCACCTCATCCAACTTTTTGCCTGAACTTTTTCTAAGAACTTGTGAATGCATTATGGGATTGATGGGACCACGTCTACAATGCATTAAAATGCTGCCCACTAGGCATAGCCAACACATTCGTGACCCTGGAGCACAAAAGCAGTGTTAAGTCGCTGGGGTATATTTGTAGCAATAGCCAACAATACATTGTATGGGTCAAAATTATACATTTTTCTTTTATGCCAAAAATCATTAGGATATTAAGTAAAGATCATGTTCCATGAAGATATTTTGTAAATTTCCTACCGTAAATATATCAAAACTTCATTTTTGATTAGTAACATGCATTGCTAAGAACTTCATTTGGACAACTTTAAAGATGATTTTCTCAATATTTAGATTTTTTTGCACCCTCAGATTCCAGATTTTCAAATAGTTGTATCTCAGCCAAATATTGTCCTATCCTGACAAACCATACATCAATGGAAAGCTTATTTATTCAGCTTTCAGATGATGTATAAATCTCAATTTCACAAAACTGACCCTTATGGGGTTTTGTGGTGCAGGGTCACATATAGCTGTATAACTGTATCTGTGTCTTTAAGGTTGTGTCTTATCTCTTGGACTTGCCTGAGAGGGATGAAGAGGACAGTCAGCGCGCTCAGATTAACAGCTATGACACCCTGTGGGGGGAGACAGGTACAGGATTTTTCTGTTTATAACTGTGTTCTAAAACCTAGTGAGCTTCCTACATAGACAGCTGACTGCTAAGGCAGCATCTGAACTGGCGTGAAAGACTCTTTGGTTCTGGGAGTATTTTTCCCATTCATTTTTCCCATAGGCATTTAAAAAAAAAAAAGGCTTGGTTTAAGAGTTATCAGTCATAAACCAAACCAACCAGCTACAAGGAGAATCACAACATTACTAACTTTGTCTTACTATCAGCCATGATTATTCTACTCTGTTAATTAAAATGTTTAATTAGTGACACTTAGCCTGCATTTTAAAATCTTTATTTGAATGTGGCAACATAACATTGCACTCTGCAATATTTTTATGAATGAATCTCTGACAGAGACTATCAGCCAATCACTGTGTGCATAGTTAATAAGCATGCTGACATCATCCATAGCAACGAGCTCAGCCCCGCCCCCTTACTCTGAGCGTAAGACTTCTCTCTATTCCTTAGTACAAGTTTGTCTCAGCAGCTCTGTGAATAGATGTTAAGAGAAAACTCTCAGCTAAAAACTTGTACTGCTCTTTAGGTAGTGTTGGGAAGGTTACTTTGGAAATGTAACAGGTTACAGATTACAAGTTACTGTATTTAAAATGTAATAGTAGTGTAACTATGTCAATTACTTTATTAAAGTAATGTAACTGATTACATTTGATTACTTTTCAAACTTTTTAACCAATGTTTTCAACTGTTAATCATTTTGAAACGTGTAAAGCAGGCAGTGTTTAACCGTACAGTAGAACTCAACACTGATTACTGTCAGAATCCTTCATCACTTGAATTAAGATTATAATCATAAATCATTTTAAAGCACAGCCACCACAAAATCAGACTTTAGCAGCTATGTTTACTTTGAGATCATTCTGCGGTTAAATACAGATTTAAAATCATAATATTTAGTTTAATAGCTATGATACTGTTTTTGAAATCAACTGTGACAGAAAGTAATGGCATCTAACAATGCTTTGGGGAAAAAAAACAGTTAATCTTAAAAAATAAAGCATATACGCAAACCCAAATAGGAAATAAACAGTTATCGTGTCCTATTCTGTGTCCTAAACTCCTGAAACACTGCTGTCTCGTGTTTTAAAGCAGTCACTGCAATTTATGAAAGAAATCAATCAAATCTATATGTGTGTGAAAATATTCAGATGTAACCCCTTTGTAATCATTAACATTTTCATCACTGTAATTTAATTACACATTTTTTTCTCAGTAACTCTTACTAATTAAAGTTACATTTATTTTGCAGTTAAATTCCGTAATTCTGTTACATGTAACTATTTACCCCTCAACACTGTCTTTAGGAGAACTCTCAGCGGTAAGATCATCTGTGAGCCTGCAGCACAAAAGCAGTGTTAAGTCGCTGGGGTATATTTGTAGCAATAGCCAACAATACATTGTATGGGTCAA